GATTCGTCCTCAAGGAGGAAACTCCAGCAAGGAGGAAGTCGACAAGCCGTTGAAAGTGATTAGTTTCCGAGAAAATCTGAAGGCGAAATAAAGGGAAGTGCGCATATAAAAGTAGTGATGAAGAGATCTCATAATGGATAAAGAGATTGATGCCGACGCGAAGTCCTAAAAACTGCATTGGAAAAAATGGTCATTAAGATTGGAAGCACCATTCGTCCTTAGCAGACGTGCAGCTATCTGATGGCACCCTCAGCAACGGCACCGTTTTGACGTAGCCATTCTGCAAGAAAACGTGCGAAATTGATTTGCATATGTATACGGTACCGTACTGTAGGGCGGAGGTGGTGTAGTGGCGAATGGCGCCCTATCTCACACGCACGATCACGGGTTCAAATAAACCACAAGCTTTCCATCCCCGCGGGGTCGGTAAATTGGTATTAGGCTCGTCTGCAAGAATAAAAGCAGTGACTTGAACATTGACTGGTGACCGGAAGTCATTGTATAGGCCACATACGCACTCATTACGCCACTGCGATTCTGAATAGAAGTCGGGTGCGGGGCCGCATCCTTCAGACGGATTGATTGACGCCATAAACTTTATCCTTTATCCTTTATGCGTGTAGTAGCTTTCATCCTACATCCACTGAAAAACGTACAACTGGTGGGCTGCCGAGGACCAATTTTGAGTTGATGGAATGTGGGTACACGTCCCATTTCATATTCCACAACTAGGTTTAGTTGAACGGTGATTATACATTTTCTCATTAGACAGACAGACAAGGCTGTTTCGAGGTACTTCAGGTCGTGTGAGCTGCAATGTTGCTCAGGTTCCTGAAGCATAGGTGACTGACTTTTATGTTCGCGTCAATATAATTCGCCTAGTCGCAAGCAATCTACAGCATCAACTTATACCTGAAATAAACGACATTCTTGATGGCCTTTGCATGCGTCAGAGAGGAAAAAGCAATCTACCAAAAGAATATAGTATAGTATAGTATAGTATAGTATAGTATAGTATAGTATAGTATAGTATAGTATAGTATATATTACGCCTGCGGAAGGCAAACGTGAGAAAGAAACCAAAACGCAATATATAATAAATATCGAACATCTGTACAAACAACCAATACGCAATACAAAGATAAATTGGTTAAGTAATCAGTCTCAGGATACGTTAGGACCACTTCCCTTCATCAGCAACTTAACTACTTGGCGTTTGAGCCGAGCTAGCGATGAAGAGAGATATATTTTTCATCACTTTTAGATAATCACTGCCAGCCCTGAAGGTAAAGCTACTCGCTTGCAAGTTGCTTTTAGGACGTGCCTAAGAAATCTTCATGGAACCACCTCTAGTCCTAGAATGTGTCAGCTTGAAGACATCAGAACCGTGACCACATGTGCCGTGTACAAGTTTGTGAACCATAGAAAGATCGAAAACCCTCCGTCGCGTTTCTAAGGATGTCAGTCCAAGATATCGGTTTCTGATAGTTGCCCTCGGTATTCTGAAGTACAAAAAACCACCAATTCGAATAAGCAGCTAACGAGTAAATTTATTATGTACCTTTTCGAGCGCATAGACATGTTTGCTTTTCTTGCTGTTGAAAACGGTAGTGCTGGATTCGACCAGAGGTCGCACATACGACTTGTAAGCACACAACAAGGCTCCTTTATTAGCTAAAGACAGCCCTTTGAAAACTCAAAACGTCTTTCTATCGACTCCTGTTTGGGAAATACGGGCCAAAAGACATGGTGTATGGCAGCCGTAAACAGGAATCAATAGAAAGACGTTTTGAACCCAGTGGTAGCAGACATATCAGTGACCAAAGCGAGCAGGTGTCGTATGAACCTGCATTATACTCCAAAAACAGTGACAATAAAGATTTTTCATCATTTGCCTCAATCGCCGCGTTTCTATCACTTCTTACACGCTGATCAAGAGTGATCGTTAGCATCAAGAACACATAATGATGACTGATGAGAGATTAGGATGACACTGGACTTCAATAGTCACTTAAGATGAGGTGCATGCCGTTGAATGCGTTTCAGAACTCCTTGATCTCGAATAGAGACTCCAATTCTGCGATACTATTACAGAAGCGAAGTCACGAAAGTATTTTCTTCCCGTGATATGAAAGCTTATCCACGGAGCCACTCTGAACGGCGTAAAGCGATGTTGCAGTTGGCAGTGTTGTGGCTCGCAGGCTATGGCTCACAGGCATGTAGATTGGGATTTTGATGCGCGGATCTCTTCTAGTTTCTGACCCGACAAAAGGCAGCTCTGACGAGTATTTTCCGATATTACCATACTTTATTTAAGCACTACCAATCGATCGGAGAACGCAAGATCTCTCGCAAGTCGTTGCTAACTTGAGTCACTTTCCGCTTCCCCTTCGTCCTTATCTTTTACCTATGCACTTTCCTATTCGCACCATCTCACTGCTACTTGTTCTGTGGCCAATAAGACTGCCGCTTCCTTTCATCCAAAATGTAATCGTGATTGTAAATCATGATGTACCCTGTAGTGCTTCCGTACGACTCTAATAAAGGGTTGGATCAGTTGCGCTAGCAACGACTTAGTCAAGCGCGTCTTGCACTTCAGCCGAAACCTATGTATGAGACGATGTTCTAAGGACAATACAGCGTCCTCGATTACTGGTTCTTCCTCTGGGCCATTACTCAGTCAACTGCTCCATCTCAGCGACATCATCTCCTGGTTGCATGTGTTACGTCATTGCAAGAGTTGCATTCAAGCCACCATCACCGTGGCAAGGCTCAGCACAGTATTTAACACCCGGTTAGAGGGTAGGCACGTAGGGGGACTCCGGGTAACCGCCAAGGTTGTATGAAAGTTCCTCTCCAGCAGCCAGCTATTCGAAAAAGGATTCTCGGAGATCTTCGCGGGCTCTCGTTTCAATACCTGCCATTGTCGTATTTGTTTTGAGTTTTTAATATCTCTCTAGTAATTACACTCGCTATCACGTAATTCATTCTTCATAAAATACCATCATGGTCACGCCGTAGAAAAATGAGCGGATGGCGGTTAATAGTTGTTGTTATCGCATTGAGAAAAGCGACATTCAACATAAAACATTATGGCCGTAACCCGTGACCTCGCGCCCTTTCTAGTCCTCTGCAAATTTTGAGATAACGGTGAGGTCAGAAAGGAGGAAGGCTTGCTCATTGTACGCATATTGTAAGCACTGGGTGGTCGATCTATCTGGTCGAGGTAAGCCTCTTGTATACCGGGTTCGAGGGGTCTCTAGTCTAAAGAACTATCTTGTGTTTATCTCGCCTTATTATAGAGTCAGTCTCAATGGTTTTTTCGACTTTTTAGGCTATGAAGAAGGCGAACTCGCCGAAACGTTAGCCCTATAAAGTGTAGAATCTTGGAAAGGCTGAAGCAAATAAACATACATATCGGTGAAAAGACATTCAACACTATTGAACATACACCACAACATGTAATTAGTCTCAAGGGGATCCCAATGGTCAGCGTAGCTATAGCTTGTTTTGATGTGGTTTTCTTGTTATCTGCTGTTATTTCGCCGCAGTATGCGATCCGAAATTTTTATAAGGTTGTCGAGTTGAGGGCGTAGTTTCAATGGCCAGAAGCCCTGCTTTCCTGTTATTAAAGGGCGTATAATAGACAACAACACCGTAACAACGTGGCAGGAAGAGCGTGGCGGGAATGCGGTAAACCGCCTCCCCCACCGCAACATGGTGCATCTTTCTGAGATTCAACGTGTGGGAAGCCCATGTTCACAGTGACCTAGTGAAACTGTGATCAAGCTTTCTCATCCCACTTCATGCAAGGAAATCTCTGAACTCGTCTTTCAGCAAATCTTGCTTGGATTGGAGGACCTGTCCTTCTGTCAAGCTTGCGCTATAACTAAGGTACTACCTCTTATAACCCATCTAGAGCCATGTTCTCTTATCTACATCACCTCCAGAAACTGAATAGGGACACTTGGATTCGTCGACCCATGCCTGGTTCTCAACAAGTGATAGGTACTTGTCGAGACCACTCAAGTACCATGTTACTGTATGCAAATGAAAATCGGACTTTCACAAAACCACAAAGCTGTCCGAAGTGTCCGGCTGGGGCTCGTCGACCTCAAATGGTTTTGTTTGGCATACTGCGGCGAAATAACAGCAGCTAATGAAAATATCACCTCAAAATAAGCTAAAACTACGTGGGCTATTGGGACTCCCTTGAGACTAATTACATATTCGCCAGTCGTTGATTTCATCAAGCCGGCGAAGGTAACGTCTTCATTCACAGCTACAGCGAGCCCAGAGAATTCTAGTGGATCACCGGTGGAATCAACCGGTCTAGCCAACGGCCATGACAGTATCCAAGATCTTTTCCGACCTCCTAATGTTCCATTTCTTGGCGTAAGAAACGGCATTACGGATCTTCACTCGTTGATGGACCTCGAAACTCCGGATTGTGGCGGTATAGGATAAGAATTAGCTCGACCGAGAAGACCCGCGGTAATGGGAGTTTTGCAAATCATCATCCCTGGCAAACTCTTTGTATTGGTTATATATGCAAAGTCCTACGATATTATTATGAAAATGAGTGCAAGGAGAACAATATTCGCGATCTATCAAACGAGAAAATATTACTACAAAAGTGGCTCTGGATGCTCAAATAGTGGTGAATGAAAAACTAGACCAAAAGCTCCTGAGACTGCAAATTGTTTGAACATTGTCAAAAAAGAAAAGGATGTTGATGTCATTATTCGATTTCAGGAAGTCAGTATAAAAGGCAAAATGGTGGCATTAGTAGCAGTACATCATTTCGCTTTCCCTTCATCAGATCTTCACGGGGGACTTTCTGATTTAATCTGAATTTTCAGTAGGGTGGTCTCGCCCGCTCGTCCCGCTATCTGCTTTTCTAAGGAACTATCGTTGTTAAGTTGATGAGTAAATATCTAAACACAGCAATAATTCGAAAAAATTTGATGGAATTCGATGATAATCAGAAAATTTTTCAGATGAATTTATTCCCAATCTTGACTGTTGTTGCGACACTGGCGACGTTTCCGGTGAGATTTTTCTGGCATACGGACTAAACTGTATTCGAGAAATGTAGAATTTTCAATAGGAAATACTGTTGATAAAGATAAAGCTTATTACAGTATTTACATGAAAAATTACAACATGAATAGATTGATTTTGTTAGTAATGATCTTCAGAGGATAGATGCGGCAACTGGTGGACGGCTCCTCCGCAAAATCCTCCACGAGGACCACCTGAGGTGCCAAAACAGCCGGTTTCTGGAGCACTCGGTGTAAGAGGTGTCAATAATGGTGGAGGACAACCAGGAGCAACTCCAAATGGACAACCTGGTGGGCCTAGTTCAAGAGGACAAGAAAGGAACCCATTTGGCGTTGGAGGAAACGCTCTTGGAGGACAAGGAGGATTTCCCAATGGAGGGTTCAGTGGACCAGGGCAAAATCCGTATAACGGAGATGGAACACAAGGAGGATTTTCCAACGGAGGATTCGGTGGACAAGGGCAAAATCCGTATAGCGGAGGTGGAGGACAAGGAAGTAAAAATCCTTAGGGCGTAGCTGGAAGACCCTTCCCTGGAGAACGAGGAGGAATCCCGTTCCAAGGATCTGAAGGACCGTTCCCTAGCGGCCGAGGACGGTATCCGTTCCGAGGACCTGATAGACTTTACGCCGGAGGACAAGGAGGATATCCGTCCCAAGGACCCAGAGGACCATTTGCCGGAGGACGAAGAGGATATCCGTTTGCACAAGCAGGGTATTCATTCCAAAGACGTGGAGGACCTTCCTCTAAAGAACAAGGAGGATATCCACTCGAAAGACCTAAAGGACCATTCCCTGGAGGACGAGGAGGATAATCGTTTGAAGGACCTGAAAGATATCCTCATGTTGGATCTGGAGGGTCTCCTTTTGCAAGGCCTGGTGGATGGTTCTGATCAGTAAATCTTTGAAGTGATTTGTGCTAGATGTCTTGGCAATTGCAATAAAATTGCTCTATTCTTGTAGCGGCTCTACAAAAGATATTATTGTTTTGGTATCATAAACATACGACTAATTAAAAATATTAGTCGAGATAAACGATAAGAACATATAGAACAACAGGAGTTCATACAAATACAATCAAAGGGACTCCCTCTCCGAAATAGAGGAACAAGTTTAGTTTGAAAAACGATTAGAATATCAAGAAAGGACATGTTCAAATAGTTACTCCGCAACATCAATCTACGTCAAAGACAAAGGAAAGACAGGAATCCACAGTCGAAGAAGTTCCGCTTACTAGAGGCGGTCCACGCTCGACATCGACCATCAAGTCACCCATTCGTCGTATGTTCTGCTCCGAAGCCAAATTTCCAACAGATGATTGACTTGATAATCCCTAGGGATTTCTGCTGGTGAATAGGGCGGATTTGGGAGCAGATCCCATCCTCTTCTTATCTTTGGCTGACTGTTCCGTAGCTCAAAAGTTTTTGGAGATCGCGAAATGACTCAACTGA